CTCGACACCCACACAATCAAATTCGATGAATTTTTTTTATTTGAATTCTGCAGTTCTGGAGAATTCAAATAAAAAAATTTTCATCGAATTTGGTTGTGTGGGTGCCGAGTTACTTTCGATCGAATTTAAAAAAAAAATATGATTTACATATGGGTGTGGAAATATCAAAAAAGGTAAAACTTAAAATTCTAAAAAATTTTGCTAATATTGCAAAAATACAGATTTTTGCAAATTTGCACATACTAATACTTAATTTTCCCGATAATACAAATTCAATTTTTTGGTTTCAGACATGAAACTTTTAAATAAACCGCTTCTTTTTATAAAATGTATATAAAAAAAAATTTTTTTTTTTAAAGCCTACCGGTTATTAAAGGTCACAAAGATAAAAAAAATTTGGTTTCAAAATTTGACCGGCAAGGGCTATAACGATAAAAACCAATTGTATAATTTGCCTTATTTTGATTGACTAACGCTAAGGTGATTACATGTATATTAGTATAGTACGTACTGTATGGTATATATTTAATTTTTTATTTTATAATTTTATATGTATATATTCGATAAATTGACTAATTCGTAAGTCTTGGCTCTAGAACCTTGCACATGTTACATAGGGATGGTGATTTAGTTAGACAGAATTAGTTAGTTAAATTTATAATTAGTACGTATGTGTGTCGCCAAGAAAAATGAATGACGGAAAGGAAAACATATAAATTACTACTTTTCGTTTTATCGGATTCGAATCTAATCCCATGCGATTAGCTCAACATAATTTTTCTTTAAATAAACCCATTTGATGACCAAGAGATCGAAAAGACTAGAACAGACTAGATAATTAGATAATCAGCCGTATACTAGTATTTGATCACATGTAATCATTCATTGTACGTAGAACCAATTTTACAGGGACCGATAAGGTGAAACGTTTGGTTAATCAACAATTAACCCAGGAAGTCCTTAAAATAAACCCTTTCATTTGTAATTTCCTTTATAAATAGAACCTTTTATTTGTTATAAATAGAAGTTACTGTATCATAGAATATTTTAAATGGAAACTGAGATAAAATAGCAATATAAACAAACTACATGCTTTTTGGTAAATAAATCATTGTCATGCGCGTATCAAAAGTATCAGAATTATTTTGTATACGTATATAATATTCGTAATCTATAGCTTAAATTTTATTATAAGAATATTTGAAACAGTTTCAGCAATAAACCAGCTGACACTAAAGAATAAGTATATAATTATAAATTCTTAGGTTACACCCGGAAATTACTATAGAATTTTCGAAGCCACAAATAGTTGAGCCTTTAAAAATTTATTTACGTTAAAGCCTAAATACTAAAGTTCTAACGATCACACATTAACGTCGAAAGATAATGAGTCAACAATATTATCCACCACCAGCTCCGCCTTCACAGCCCTATTATTCTCAAACGGCCCAGCCATATTACCCACCTCAAACAGGAAGGTATTCTCCGGTTCCGCAATATCAACCACCCGCGTATGATCAGGGATCATTCCGTGGTTCGATAGCAGAAAAATGGAATCCGAAACCAAAATTTCAGGGTATGTGAAATTCGATTAATATTTACACAGAAACGAAGCATTAAAATCATATGTGGCCTCTTGCAAATAAATATTGATAATTTAGATTTATGGGCCTTTCTATTGTTTCTCGCTCACCTTGTTGGTTTCGTGGTTCTTAGTATCGTCGGACTAAAGTATCTAATAAGCCAGGACGGATTAAAAAAGGGCAACAGTTTCTTTAGGCCTGAAATAATTCCACCCTTCGTTATTTCCGGTCTGATTGGGTTGATTTTGAGTGTTGTTTATATGCTTTTTATGCAAAGGTTTCCTCTACCGCTTATCAAAGTAACACTATACCTGTCAATTGCCATGTATTTTGTTGCTGCTGCCGTCTTTTTCTTGGTTCGTTCATACCTTTTGGTAAGTTTTTTTTTTTTTTTGTATCTAATGTGCATTATTTTAGCATTAAATTTTTAAGGTTTTTCAATATTTTTTTTAGTCAGTTATTTTTGTAGTTTTCGGAATATTATATTTGATTGCCGCCTTTAGTTGGCGTAATCGTATTCCTTTTGCAGCTATTATGTTAGAGACAGTTGTTAGCATTACAAGAAAATATTATGGTATCATTATAATGGGTTTTATAGGTTTAATAGTTCAAGTAGGATGGTCTGTCTTGTGGATTTTGAGTCTAATTGGAGCGTAAGTTTATAATATACTGTATCTATTGTATAGTTGTATATAAATTTCGCTAAACTATTCATTTGTTTCTAGATATGAATATTTCGATTCGATATATTGTAATACTACCGTGAATGGTCAAAAGACATGTAACAATTCTACTATTATCTACCTAATATTGGTATATTTATTGTTCAGCTTCTATTGGACAAGTCAGGTCATAAAGACTATTGTTCATGTTACTGCCTCAGGAGTTTATGCAACATATTATTTCCTTGAAGGCACTCCTCAAGGAACAGGCACTACTCCAACTCTCAGCTCTTTTAAGCGTGCAACTACAACTTCTATAGGTAGCATTTGTTTTGGGAGTTTAATAATTGCACTTCTTAATACTGCTAGAGCAGTATTACGAACTTTTGCGGATAGCGACGATGGTGCCTGTGGATTTTTGGCATGCTGCATTGCTTGCTTATTAGCATGGATTGAATCAATTGTCGAATACTTTAATTTTTACGCTTATGTTGAAGGTGAATTTTTAATTTTTTTTTTATGCTATTTTACTTTCTAAACCTATCAATTTAACTATATATGTTCTTGAATAGTTGCGATATATGGTAAATCATACTGTCAAGCTGCAAAAGATACATGGACCTTGATAAAGGATCGTGGCATTGAAGCTATTATTAATGATGATCTTATTGGAAATGTGTTAACCATGGGCTCTCTTTTAATTGGTGTTCTTTGTGGGTTATTCGGATTCCTTTACATACACCTTTTCTTAAATTTTTTATTACAAGATCAAAACAGTTCAACTTTAGTAATCGTATTTATTCTAATTTGTTTTGTAATTGGCTTTATGATGTGTGTAAGTAAAAAAATTTTTGTTTTATATCTCTTTATTTAGACGCTATTTAAACATTCAGGCTAAAAATATTATTGTATTTTAAATAGGTGGTCATTACTGATTCCGTCAGCTCTGGTGTCTCAACTACTTTCGTTGCTTTGGCTGAGGATCCGGATGCGTTACGAAGAACTAAGCCTGTATTGTTTGATAGAATTCGACAGCAATGGCCCCGTATTGTCCAAGGAATTTAAGATGTTCAACTTATTTAAAAATTAATATGAATACAGTAATATTTAGGCATTTACATATTATTATTAGTAGGTAAAAAAGGAACGTTCTATATCAATACATACCACGGAATGTTTATATTATGAAGCTTGAGGATAATTATTATTTAATAGATTGTAGGAACTTATTTTCATGCTTGAATAATAATTCATTGTAGAGCGATCATAAATAGAGCTTAAATTCGGGTATAAAATTATATATTAAGATCATCTTTGATATCCAGATTCAATCTCTAATTATGATACTTGTATATTATGAATAGTATATTAAAAAAATATAATCATTCAATTTTATGCAAAGTTTATTCACAAATTTAATGTAAATGGTTGGGGTATAGTACACCAGTAGCCAAATCAAATTGGGTTATGTTATTGCGAAATGTTTAAAGTACAAATATGCCGCATTTACCCACCGTCTATAAAAGTGTTTATTTTGTAAGTGTTATCCACAAAAAATTACAGGTATTAAAAATTAGACCTGAATTTTACATTTCTGGATAAAAATTTGAAATTCCCAGATAATCCATCAAATCATCAAATTTTGCTAACAGCAATTCTAACTGATAGTATATCAAAATTTATAAAAGAAATCACAGCTTATGTCATTAATACTAAAAAATGGTTTTTAATTAGTTTTAGAACAAATAGTAACGGATAATAACTGCGATCTTTAATAAGCTAACCTTGTATATCGAGATCAAGGAAAATGGTCGAATTAAAAATCATAATTATCATATTCATTGTGAAAATTAGGATCAGCACCCATGTAATATCCGTAACTATTTCCTATTGAACCAGGGGAAGTGATTAACGCGTGTTCTGGATTATCATAATAATGCGACGACTTACTTAAGGGGAGTTCAAAATGGTCATATAGATGGGAAGAGATAGAATTATCAAAAGTTGGGGATTGAGACGTTGGGGATGAATATGCTACCTTCATAGATGATATAGGTTGTGTTTGGATATTTGAATCTTGATGAATTTCTAACTTAACAGAAGATCTGTTGATACCTGAGGTAGCACTTCTGATAATACCTTTGTTACCGTTGATTGCTGAAGTATCTTCTTCATCGCTACTTAATGTGAGGTCAATTATCTCTCTCCCATTAAATGAAGACGAATGCGATTTAATCGGTTTACTTGGCCGTATAGGAGGATTCTCGTCTTCTGAATCATCTATCACGTATACATCTATTGGTGGTTCCACAGAACGTGTCTTTTTCGTAACAGAAGGCTCTTCCGAAATATTCCGTTTTTTCTGAACAGACCATTCACCGTTTGGTTCAATTATAATGCGTTCCTGGTCCTGTGACGTGTTATTAAGTATGTCGGCAAAATAACTAACATTGCGGATATTATAAGAACCAAATATTTATATTAAAGCTAAAATTGAGAATCCTTCTTTTTTAAATAATATATAAATAAAAATAAATAAATAACTAAATAATCTTATAAACTCACCCATCCACTACAATATCAGACCATGTTCCAACATTATTGCAAATAGGACATAACCAAGTCGGTGTTTGCTCATTCATTTGGAAAAATAAGTACGCGTCGAAACACTGTACATGTCTACAACGAGAAAATTTACACGGAACCTGGATTCTCGTATACCCCAACTAATATTCAAAATAGAAATGAGAAAAAATATTATAGGACACCCGTACATAAAATTTTTAAAAAACAATTATCATCACACCGGATCTTTCAGTGAAATTTGGCTCGATCCAAGAACTATATCATCCTCGGCAGCATTTTGCCCTATTACAAATGAGATAATTAGAGTTGTAAATTCTATTTCAAATAGAAGCATTTGTAAAATAACATGTTTGCTTACACTTTCTCAATGTTTCTTCTTTTGTGATTATTCTTCCATTTTTTATTTGTTCTACAATGTAGTCAACTGACCTCTTCTTAATCAACTGAAGATTAATTAAATATCTCTATAAATGAAAATAAATGATAATAATAAATAATAATAATAAATAACAATAATAAAATAAGCAGAACCATAGAACAAAAATACCGAATGAAAAATAATTTACCTTTGTAATATTTGCATACACAAATTTAAGCTTATTTAGATAAGTTGAATTTATTTTGCAAAGCGGCGTTATGTCTATCGGGTGTACTGAACCAACCATCTTTTTAATTCCTCTAGTATTCTACAATACGACCATATAAATTTAGCTCACATGCCATAGAACCAATTCGTTTAGAATAACACCACGTAGTTTAATAATTCTTACAGCTGGCAATGTGTCATCATTAACCTGAATCTCACACATTAGTGGAAATTCAACTACTGCGTCAGTACCAGAAGATCCATTTTCGAAAGGCTCGGCACAACAGAATAAGCGTATTTGATAGTATGCTACATTCCTTCATAAAGAACGGCTATTGTTACGAGTCACGAACAAGATCATAACTATTTATCTAACATTAATTCATTCTTACCTTGACGTCTGAAGATACCGAACTTGATCTATTGTTAGGCGGAAGTCAATAGTGATTGAATTTCGCGTATTGTCATTTGATCCTAAATACATGTAAAAATATTTAATATACATCGAAAATTTTTTTTTTTTTGGATTTAACACTTCAATTACCGTCTAATACTCGGAAATCTGTAATTAATTCTATAATATCGTAAAATGGTGATGACCTGAATTGAATATTATGATTCAAACCGTAGATTGGCGTAGGAGGACTAATAAGTCTATGTTTACTAAGATTAGGCGGCACGCGAGAATGAGTAATGTTTGAGGGTTTCAAAGGAGCTCTAGTCATGATATTAAACGGTGAAGTTTTGATAGAGATGATGTATTATTTAACAAGATTGTAATATTGATTTTAAACGACAGCTAAATGGCTTTTGTAATACATTATGTATTCCATCAAACAGACGGAAAACTAAGCATACCTTGGCTGTTGTACACCTTTCCGCAATATAATTTCAGACATTTCATTTATAGTATGTGGTATATTAGTCTCCTTTATCCTTTTCATGTATTCAGTTAAATTTTTGCAAAGGTCGGGTTTTTTCACGTTGCAATCCAACTGAGCTCCTTGGCATGAATTCAAAACTCTATTACACGCTTTTAGATCTTTAACAAGTAATTGATTTACAATACTAAGAGCTTGCTATGTTATGGAGACAAGAGGTTGGGGGTATCAAAAAAGACTGAGTGGCTTGTTTTGAAATTTGCCTTTAAAAGTTGATATTTGTCATACCTGATATCTTTCGAAATCCACCATTATCAAAAGTATAAAACTTTGACCGAAAGTATAAAAGCAAGGTACAGAAGACGAACAGGATCACGAACTTGAGTTAGGTCGAATAATTTAACATTTGTCTCGTCCTTCACGATACTTATATGTACGTACATTTAACCCTGATCTTTATAGAGTAGTTACACAATTAAAATGCGTGACGTATAGTAAGCATTAAGCATTAGAACATATACGTATCTTTCTATCATAGCAAAAAAGATTTTTTGCAATTTAATACATTATATATTATTATAACCTATCTTAACTATAAATTTAACGCTAATTCTAATTTTGACCAGTTATACGTATATAAAGATGCTGGTGAAAATAAAGCTAAAATGAACTAACGCTAAAGTAAAATTTTATCATGATTGAAATTGATATCGATATACGTAAATTTGGTAAATTACATAATATATGATCGGGTTTATTAAAACACACGAGTGGCGTTTAACATCACAGTTGCTACAGTATATCGATATGTCGAAACTGGCTGTTATTAAATGTTTGGTTTTAAATAAAATATTTAAAATCTTAAATTAAACTGTAATTTTTATTTTAATTTATAAAAACTTTAAGATTGTACGTATAAGTATTGGATATTACTAATCATTGCTAGTATAATATAAAATAATACGTACTAAAATATTATTTTAGTATTATTTTATTTGTTATTATTATTATTCTATTGTTTTATTAAATAAAAATTGAATTTTAATAATAAAATAAATTTTTTATTGGTTTTACGTATTCATTGAATTAATTTATATAAAGCTATAGGCTACATGTAGCCATACTATTGATATAATTTTTTTATAGAAAAATTTTGCATCTATATTAACATTAGAGTTAGGATTAGGATTAGGATTAGGTTGGGATTAGGGTTTGGGTTAGAATAAAGTAAAATTGCAAGAGATTTTTATTTAGTAACACAACAGGGGCGCCCTAGTAAATTTGAGTTATTATAGAAATTATAAAATATATTTTTTTTTAGAGAATTTCTATTTGTACACATAGTGTATATACACGGGTATAAAAAAACCAACTATTATTTCAAAATTTTGATTAGGAAATCACTTTTTGGCTTCTAACAAAAAAATTTTCTTGTGAAATTTTGGTATAAACTACTCTCACCCCAATCCAAACTTACTCTTATCCTAACTATAAGCAAGGGTTTAATTTTCTTTCGTAAAAATTGTTTTGATTGGCATGTTATACAAGTTTGTAAATCAATAAATTAGTATCCCATGTATAAACACTATGTGTAAATTAATAAATTTTCTTTTTTGAGAATTTTTATTTTTTTTTTAAGTTGGCAATAAAATATTTTATTATTAATTAAAAATTTTACTTATAGAAAATATTTATTTATATATCACTCTGGTTATACCAATATCTGAATATAACAATATCATAGTAAAATTTTTTTTTTTTAGTATTAAGGTGACCTCTTTGGCCAAGAGAAACTTTTTATTAGAAATCAATGATACTGGTTACAATGAAGATACAACTAATCACTGCACTTTTGGCGTCATCTACACTACTGTAGATGCCTATACTTGCAGCCCAAACTAGAACTACCTATTTAAACCTTCTGATCTTCACTATATATACTATTTTATTCTAACCACAGAACTACTACAACTGCAGTTTATCCTTGGTAGATTTCACATCCTGCCTTAGAATTTCTATGGATTTATTCTGGGTTTGCACTGACTAATTACTGGTTTGCACTGACTAATTATGGCTTGCATTCCTCTGTTAAGCGGATACTGTAGTAAAATTTACTAAAAACTATTAAGCTTTAGCAAACTTTAAAGTCATAAGTGTTGAGTGGACTATCTTTTATTTAAGGGTAGGGTGAATGTAGATCATTTCTTATATAAATAGATCAACCAAAAAAATATTATACAAAAATCAAACACATGTTATATATGAAAGTTTTTAAAAATATAATCAATTTTTATAAAAGTT